CAAAACAAATAAAAGAAAAAAAAAATTTTTTTTTTTTAATCGTAATTATTTTATTACGAATAAATAAAAAAAAGAGAGAAAATTAAAGAGAGAAAGAAAAAAGAAAATTGAAAATAAGAATCCTTAAAGGTTTACTTAATTTTTTTTTTTTTTTTTATATGGGGGGGGTGACGTAATAATTTTCTTTTTTTGTCTTCTCCTCGTTTAAAAAACAAAAGAAGATTTTTAATTAATTTCAAATCTCTTCTTTCACTTTACTTTTTTTTTTTTCTTTTTTCTCTCTTTTTTTTTTACTACGAATCGTGGAAGTAGACGTAAAGAAGTGTACTTTCATAAAATTATAAAAAAAAAAAAAAAAAAAATTTAGTTCGGTAAATTAATTCCCGAAAAAAAAAATAAAAAAAAATTTTCCTTTTTTTTTCTTTATAAGATGAATGCGGATTCGTATATGCTAAACATAAAAAATTAATTTATCTTATAATTCCTTGTTTTACCCAATTAATTTGTTTCGTTTTTGATTTCGATTTATTAATAAAAATAAATAAATAAATAACTTATTTATTTATTTATTTATTTATTTGTTTTTGATACTTTTTTTATTAATAATATTAATAATAATAATAATTTAATCGAAAAAGTTAAATATTAAAATAAAAAGGAAAAAAATTTGTTAAAACGTTTTTTTTTTTAAATTTACTTTAAATGTTTCAAAGAGATAATTTTTTTAAATTTTAACATTATTATTATTATTATTTTCTTTCTATTGACACGTCAGAACCGTATAAATTTCATTATATTTTTGAATTATTAAAAAACAAAAACGGGTAAAATGCAATAGAAATAAAACTTTTTTTCTTTTTTTTTTAGCTTTGTTTTGCATTTTTGAAACCTTTGAATTTTAACAAAAAAAAAATTCTTTCTAGAACATTCTAAAAATTATTATTATTATTATTTTTTTTTTGTACTTTTGAAATCTTTTCAAGTATTTCCCTCCTTTTTTTTTCTTTTTTTTTTTTTTTTGTTTTTCAAAAGCTTTTCTAAACGTTTTGATTTTCAGTTTTTTTTTTTTTTTTTGAATTTTAATTGTTTTCTTTTTTTCTTCTCTCTCTCTCTCTCTCTCTCTCTCTCTCTCGAGTTTTCTTGTCAATACGATCGATTTCTTCTTTTAAAAGAAAAAAAAAAGTTTTCTAGTAAAGTCTGATAACTAAATTTATTGTTTAACATCAATTCCATTTCCGGTTTATAAATCTATTGATGACGCAAGATATTGAGTGAGTGAGTGAGATTTGGCTATTTTTTTCATAAAAGTTTTCTTATTTTATTATTCGTATTATATCCTAACTTTATACCGGAAATACTCAACCTATTCATTATTATTATTATTATCACGACTTTCTGTTAATTCATATGTTTTGTTATTATTCGATTCTCACTTTTCTCATTTTTTTTTTTTGACATAAACTTACAACATTAGAAACTTTTCCAGTTTCATCCTCCATACTTTTGATGACGTCATTTAAAATTCTTTTGCGTGCGGTTTTTTGTTATCGAAAAAAAAAATGTTGACCTTTTTCTTTACTTGTCCTGTTTTTATCTTTTTTTATTTTTCCTCTTTTTTTTTCCCCCTTTGAAATCAAATCTCCTTCATGTGCCCTCATATATGTTTCTCTTTCTTTCTCTTTTTTGTTATCATTTTAAACGATCATGTTCTTGGTATCATTTTTACAACGGTTGACAGCCATCTTTGATATCGTATCTTAAAATAAAATGCAACAATTATTTCCTATTAATTTTTATAAAGTTTTTTTTTTTTTTGGTAATTTCAGGTGTGCCATTTTGGTGCCTTTTGGACATCGTCCCGATCAAAAATGAAAAAAGGGAAGTCGTTTTATTTCTTGCATCACATAAAGATGTTACAAATACAAAAATGGAAGAAATGAATCCTTCATCGACTTATGAAAACGGTAATATTATTATTATTATTATTACTTTTCGATTTTCAATTGCAAAAACTTTCTTGACATTTACTCAGGCATTTTACCTAATCGTTGGTTTTCCTTTCATAATCTAAAATGAATGTTTTTTAAATACCATCACGCCTTTTTGAGTTGTCATCTTATTTGTATTGGGATCAAATGATTTACATATCATTTTACATAGTCGGAAAAAATCCACAACTTCTAGAACTTTCTACAATATTACGAGAATATCAACTTGTCTCTTTATTATTAATCCATTGGCATACAATCAATTAATTTATTAATATTATTATTATTATTATTTGGGGATAATACAAACAGTTAAAAAAAAAATTAGATCAGACAAAGAAATATTAGAATTCTAATAATGGAATAATTCAATCAATGTTCATAAATAAAATAATTTATTCTAGAAATTTCTTATTTTCTAGAAATTTATAATTTTTTTTGCAACGTTTAAAATTTGTCCTTATTAAATTTTATTTATTTATTTATTTATTTATTACTCGACGTTTTATCAAAAATTTAAATTTTATAAATATTTAAATAATATTGAAAGGTTTTTAAAAAAAATCAAAAGTAAAAGGTAGAATCATTTGCGCATGCGCATTATTACTACAGTAATAATTAAGGTTTAAAAATTTTTTTTTTTTTAAATGCTGCTCCTCCTAAATTTAGATTGAAAACGTAGACTTTAAATTTTTCTTTTCTTTTCTTCTTTTTGGTAATAAAATATTTAAATTTTATTATTCTATGATTTTATTTATTTATTTATTACCAAACCGGCTATAAAAAAAATTAAAATAAGAAAAAGTTTTATAAAATCAAACGTTTAAAATTTATTTATATTAAAAATTAAGTTTTGAAAAAAAAATTTTTTTTTTTGTTGTACGTCATTCACCCACGCAAAATTTGAAAGAAGAGGAAGAGGAGAAGGAGGACGAGGAGGAGGAGGAAATTTAATATTTAAAAAACGTTTTAAATAAATAAATAAATAAAAATTTCTTTTTTGTTTTTCGAATGAGCTTTTATGAGTTTTTCTGCAATAATAAAATTTCAAGTTTTAATTTTCAAAAAAAAAAAAAAAAAAAAATTAGGAAAACATGGAAGACATTTGTTTTTACTGAAAAAAAAAAAATCAAAAAGAAAATTTTTTTTTGTTATGATAAACGTCTTATGAATTTAAAAAAATTCTAGAATGTTCTATTTTGAAATCCCTCTTCTCTCCATCCATCAAAATTAAATATTTTATTTATTTTTAAACGTTTATCCTTTTATTAAAATATAAATCTTTTAATTTGTTTTTCCTTCTTTACCTGGCGAAAATTTTTTTTTTTTTCATTTTCTCAAAACTCAACTTCAGCAAAGGTACCTTCCTTCATTTTCCTCTTTTTAAAAAATTTTTTAAAATTATTTTATAAACTTTTAACGGAAAAACAAATCAACTAGAATAAAATCCAATAATGGTTTTAGCCCTTTTTTCATAAAGACTTACAACAGCAATTTTTCTTATTTTAGTTTCGTGTTTAAAGTTTGATGCATTCATTCATTCTCTTTCCCATATTAAACATTTATATATTTAATTATTTTGTAACAGAAAACATAACAAACAAACAAACAAACAGTTTGAGTTGTCGTATTTTGTGAACAAACATATTGTTTACTTTTTTGACAGGGAACCTCGAAGGAAAAGTCAATCAAAATATAAATTTTTTATGCCCTGTATAAAAATTATTATTATTTTATAGAATTTTCCAATGAATTTATATTTTTTAAATGATAAAATTAAAATAATGAATCGTATTATTTATATTTAAATTCAGTGGGAGGAGGGAGGAGGGGGAAGAGGATTCGATAAATAATAAACAAGATCGTGAAATAATGAAAAAAAAAAAAAATTACCATTGAACTTATTTTCTTTTAAACTAAATCCCCACCTTCATCTCCACCTCCTCTTTCTTCTTCTTCTATTCCCCCTCCTCCCCTCCTACTCCCCCCATTAAAAAAAAAACCGGAAAAAAAATCCCGGTCATAAATTTCCCATGTGATT